CTCCCCATGGATGGGATTACAGGCGTGCACTACCACGCCCGGATTTCAAATTTGTGATCTTCTTGCCTGAGTAGCTGGGGTTGCAACTCATGTCACCATGCCTAGCGGTTTTATTGTTTTAATAAAGTGAATCACAATTTTTTTTTTTCTTCTTCAAGACAGGCTCTTGCTCTGTAGTTCACACTGTCCTTGAACTCATTGTGTAGCCCTGGCTGACCTGGAATGCAATGTGATCCTCCTGCCTCAGCCTCTCAAGTGGTGTGATTATAGGTGTATGCCACCACAGCTTTCTCAGAAAGAATTTTATTTGGAGAATTTTAGTCATGCCTTGCAGATTATGGGCAAGCCTGGAGCCTTAGAATGTCAAGTTTGGGCTTTGTTGCTATGTGTTTTGTCAGTAATGTCTTAATAATAATTCCTTACTTGTGAATTCGTAGATATAGTGGGCTGCTCAGCCGTATTTCTGTTTCACAAATGAGGGAAGTTAAAAGTGAAAGTAAACTAATACTGTCCTGCAAATGAACTAGCTCCCAGGCCCTGTCACTGCTAGGAGCTGAAGAACAGGGAATTGGGCGCTCTCTCCAGGGCACTGCTCTTCCTCACACCAAGTCTGAAACAGTGACACCATGGATCTTGGTCATGCCTTGTCTGTCCCTGTAACCCTAACAGTCTGAGAAGCTGAGTCAGCAGGATCACAAGTTCAGTCCCACCCTCAGCAACGTAGTGAGGCCCTGTCTCAAAGTAAATACAAAATGACTGGGTCTATAGCTCTGTGCAGAGGCCCTAGGTTCAATTTTCAGTCCTGGAAGAAAACAGAAAACATTTTGGAGATTCCCTATATTAAGTTCATGCTAGTAATAGTTGATAGAACCATGACAGCCTGCAAACTTTTTGAAACTAGTCTGTGACAAGGTAACATGGAAATTATGAATGTGCTTTAGAAACTTACAGTTGTGTTGTGTGCCTCGCTATCCAGTGCCTCTAAATCTGAAAGGTATAGATGCATTCCATCTTTCCTGCAGTTTCTCCTAGTTGTGCAGACTCAGGGCTGTTGACTCATGCTTTACTTTCCTATCCTTCATATTCAGTTGCCAAATTAAATTAATTCTTTTATGATACTGGCCTTTGTATGTATTGTTCTTTGCATTACCACAGTGGCCCCTTGTAGTTGCTCCCCTATCTAGTGTTCATTGCTTACTCTGAAATCTGTCTTTGCCTGAGTAAGCTCCCTTACTTGGGAGTGTACTTTGCACCTTAAAGTACCTTTGGACTGGCTCAGTATAGAACAGTTGTCAAGCATGTGTGAAGTGTACTATGTTGGATCCCCAGCACAGTCAAAAATAAAAACAAGGAATCCCTTTTTTCTGAAATGAGATTGATTCTTTGCTCCAGATTTGCTCTTTCCATGCATATGTTTTATAAATGGCAACACTGCCCTTCCTTAGTTTTCGCTGAGGGAAACTGATGGGTAATTACTGCTCTTTGACATCTTCTTTCCCCATTTGATGAAGTTTATCTGTGTATATTAACATAACCTCTCTTGTCTTCATTCTTACTCCTAGCCCAGTGGGAGTCGTCATTGTCTCTTACCTAGAGTTCTCTAACTTTCCTAATTGTTCTTTCCTGTTTATCTTCGATTCCTCTGTAGTCATTCTCATACACACTTGTATTATTATGATCTACTCTTAAAAATTTATACTTTTTTTATCGTGTGTGAGCTAATGGTCCAACTGCTTCATGTGACCTTTAGGTTTAGCAAGTTTACTTTGCCTACCGTCAATGCCCTATGTGTCCTGTACTGTACCAGACCAAGCAGCCTAACACCTACACTGTCTCTCCTTGTGAGACACCTCCTTTTTTCTCTTCTTTGCCTTCTGCTATTTCTTTAAGGGTTATTTTTGTGCTCATCCCCTTCCCAGAGCCTTTCATTCACCCAATAGCATTTCTGGTGCACTTCACTAGCTCTGCTTCCATGATGCACATGGACTCCCTGCTACCTGTCTCTTATTGAAGGTGGTCAGAGCTCTCTTGGCCTTATTGAACTCCCAAGTATAAACCTATTGAGAGACTGTGAACAATACAAGGTGAGGAGGGCTGGCGCATCTCACAAGGAGATTCTAGTTCAGTAGATCTGGGAAAGGTCCTGGGAATGAATGAATGAATGAATGAAT